CACCCTCACGAAATACGTCTCATTTTTAAAGCCTATTTGGGGACTCCATATTCATACCCTTCCACGGAGGTGTTGGACAAAAGGTTAAGCAATCCGTGTGTGATGGAAAAAAAAAAAAAAAAAAAAAAAAAAACCAAAAGTACACGACTGTGAAAAAAAAAAAAAAAAAAAAAAAAAAGTCCCTGTTGGCAGAAAAATAACCAAACACAATAAATACCAACTGTGGTGAAAATGGGAAAGGTCCTAATATATCTGACTAAGCAAGTTGTCCCTCCGAGGAAAACACACATTCATCTCAAATGTGCTTGGTGAACATGTGCAGTGTGACCCTCCATTCCCTTTTGTATGTGCCTACAGCTGTGTCACCAAGTCTATACGCGCGCTCAGTGGTTTCCATTTTGCCTGCACAAGTCATATGCACTTATTTGCAAACGCCTGTACCACTTTTGTGCAATTGACTTTATGCATTGCAGGGGGGGGAGGGTCATTCCAGCATGTGACTGAAACGCGTATTATTATTTCCTATAAGAATTATTTACTTTTTATGATTGGAATTAATTTTCGCTTTTACTTTTTTGTAGGCACATGCATAAGCACACCTACGCATGGAGGAGGGAAAATAAAAAAAAAAAAAAAAAGCACACATATATACGTAGGCCTATATGTGCGTACATATACGTCCCTACATGTATCCGGAGGCGTGCGCATGCACATGTGCATATGCTCGGTGTCTAAGTGGTCAAGTACTTTGGTTTGGCCTTATGTGGGATGGAAGAAAAAATCGAGCAGGCCTTGCGGCGCAAAAAAAGGGGGAAATATGGAACACAGCAATAAAAGGAATAAATGGAATAAATGAAAAAAAAGGGAAGAGTTCGCAAAATTGCAAAGCCGAAAAATAGCGAAGCAGCAAAACTGCAAATCTACAGAACTGCGAAAAGGCAAACCGCGCGAAGCACTCGAGCGCGACGAACGGTGAAACCGCCTCACTGCGCCCTAAAATAAAAAAGCAAACGAACGGCTTACGCCAAATCTGCGCTCTGGCTGTAACGTAGGAAGGACAACGGGCAGGCAGCAACCTACAGTTAAGATGAAATTATGCGGGGCTGTTTTTTTCCTCCTCGTAGTGTGTGCCCTTCACTTGGTTGCGTGCCGATCGGGGGGAGATGATGATGTGGGGACAGTTGGACCGGTGGAAAAAACACCGGAGGGGGAAAGCATGGGAGTGCCCAACAATGGGAAGACCTTCAGTGAGAAGAGCACCAATGTGGGGGGAGACGCAAGTCAGCCAGAGACCAAAAAAATGCACAGATTGGTTAATGAAGAGAAGGGGGTGCAGGACGGGGGCAAGAGCGAAGCCGAGGAGGAACTGAAGAAAGCCAAGGAGGATGTGCAAAAGGCTAAAGACCTCGCTCACGAATGCGAAAAGGAAAAAAAGGAATCCCTGATGGCAGCAAAAACTGCACAGAACAACCTGCAGGAGTGTACCTATAGTAGCGGGGTAGACCTCACTCAGTGCAAAGCAGAGCTGAGTGATCGAGAAAAGCACCTGTACGTGTGCAGGGAAAACGAAGACAAGTGTTATGCTAAAATAAAGTATATGGGCAAACAGCACGAGGAAAGGGTAAGTAGGAAGGAAAACGAAACAGCAGAGTTGAGGAAGAAGGTACTAAGGTTAGAAAAGGCTCTGGAGGAGATGGAGCTGGAGTTGAAGATGAAGAATCACGCAGATGATAGTAAAAGTCACAACGAGGACAAAGACAGCAACTACCTAATTTCATTCCCTATGGTGCGAAGTTATTTCATAAAGGTATTAAAAATATACAAAACATTTTATATAATAATGTTCGAACAGACTAACTTATTAGGGTTCCTCTCCCAATTAGCCCTCCATAAGGATGCCATGATGACACACCTCAAGCTTTGTGGAAGGCGTACAATGCAAAAGCTTCATCAGTACAAAACCTTCATTGGAGAATGTGATTGGGTGACTCGACTTTTAAACCTTTACGAAGATTCATCTCTGAGTCAGTATGTACAGTTGATTAAAAGGAAAGCTGGAAATTTTGTCTTTACGGCAAGGCGATTGTTCCTGCAAAAAGTGGTGCACCCTGTGAGTCGGAACATCTACCCCCAGATGACACAATCGATGAGGAATAAATACATGAACATCAATTGGGATCTGTTCTTGCACAAGTTACATAACAATTCTCAAGTCCTAGTGGTGAAGTTAAATTCTATAAACCCAGAACTGCAAGGTATTATTTCCCCTCGGTTGGAAGATCAGCTTATTTTGCTCATTTTCTTCACAGCGGTGAATATCATTCACTTGTACTTATTTTTTTATTTATTGTTCCTTTTGATTAAGCTATTGAAGAGGGTGAGTATGTATATGTTCATGTGGAGTTACGTGTTCTTGTCGGTGGCTTATCGATGTACCGTCTTTGTGCTGACGCTGCCAATACGGCCGTTCATGCGGAAGCGGGGCAAGCGCAGTAGGAAGGTGTACCGCAGGCACGATGAGAGGACTTGCGCGAACCCGGAGCGTATCTCGTACCAGCATCAGGAGATTAAGAAGGTGCACAAGGGGCATAGCGTCCACCAGCGGAGGGGGTGACACGAGGCGCGGCAACGGAATTGTGATGCGCCGCTTCGCTTCGCCCTTGTTTCTGTTCCTGGTTTGTTTGTCGACTGGCGCGCCGATGCTTGTTTATAGGCGTAGTACACACGCACACACACATGCCTTCCCCGTGGCGCGGCTTGAACATTTACCACCGTCTGCTGTGCGAGGGATGGGACACGCTCTGCAGGGGAGGAGGCCTCAGCTAGTTTTGCGACGAATTATGCGGCCATTTGGGGGAGCTGTATATCAGTCCGTAGGAACATCTCTTTATTAACAACTGCAGCGCGCACCTTTTTTATGTGTCCCCGTGTTGCACGTGCCGTCTTGTCCCCCTGCACCTTATCCTGGTGTAGTTAACCATAATTAACACTTGCACCTTTTCTACATTTTTATTTTATATTATTTTTATTTTTATTTATTCTTATTTATTTTTTTTTTTTTAAGTTTAAGTGGGATCCACCAACTTGCGTCAGTTGAAGAGTACATCAATGTAGGGGCATTCCAATGTTGGGATTCCCCTTACTGTTTATGGGTTTTTTTTTTTTTTTTTATATTTTCCCCTTTGCTTGTGTACCCTTTTTCCAACGGTGCGCGCAGTTACCCTTGGCAACTGCTTCTCCGATGAACTCATTCTCCGTTCAGCTAAGCAACAACAAAAACGGGGAAGACGCGGCGGAACGCAGTTTGGGGGGAATCCACGGGGAGATTTTCGTCCCCCCCTCACAAAAAAAAAAGAAAAAAAATACACAAACATATATGTATGCAAATGTGCACAAAAAGGCGCACAAAAAGGAGGACAAAAAAAAAAACGCACACATGTACGTAGACAAACGGATGTACCCCTGAGGGGCGCCCAACTCAAGGGGCCCGCTTCTTAATATTATTCTCGTACACCTTCCGTTCCACATTTTCGCTGAAAATTTTATTTTCCAAATAATTTTGCCCTGCCTTTAACTTTTCCTCATCAATGGCATTGGCCATTTTATAATAGACCCAATCTTCAGTGGACTTATCGACTGTGTTGATCTGTTTATTTTCTTGTATGTTCTGAATAAGCTGATCAATATTTGCAAAATTTCCTCCTATGTTCATTTTGTCCTTCATTTTGAGGTAGCGTTTATAAGAGGAGGAAGTTTTGTCGATTTTTTTTTGGACCGTGTATACTTTTCCTGCGTACATATATTTTTTTTCTACCTGTACAGAATTATTTTCGTAAAAATTTTCCAGGGCATTTTTCACCACACTTGAGATGTCGCTATTGTACTCTTTGTTGCGGCACTTCTCTTTGAATGCCTTTATGTCCATCTCGGGGGATGTTTCATTTCCACCAAATGCCGGCGAATACTTGTTCAAATGGTCGTGCAACTTCTGCTTGGTGTTGTAGTTTTTCTCCTCCTGAGGATACTTCTTGTGGAATTGCAAGAGGAAGTCTTCATCGCTAACTGACTTTTCGTGTTTGTACAGCTGTTCATACTCCCTATTAATGTCGTGGTAAGTTTTTTCAATTTTTTCCTTTATGATTGAATTTTTTATAATGCTTTTAATCAACTTTGGATTTTTTTCATTTTTCCTTTTGTTTCTCTTCGCCTTCCCTAGACTGCTCACTAGGTCCTTGCCATCCTCCTGCAGCTCCTCCTTTACTTCATCGGACAGCTCTCCGTCCTCCAGCTCCTTCTGCAGCTCCGCCTCGACGTCGTAGTTATCGTCCTCCTCGTCGGACGAGGGAAATTCCATGGTCATGATGGTAGCCATCTTTTCCCCACGTGGTTCACAATTAGGCTCATTGGCGATGGGTGAAACTGTCCCCGCGCAGCGCACTTTACCCGTTTTCGCAAAACTGAGTCGCAGTGGCGCGTGCGTGGGCTGCTACATGAAGCTCACCCATTCACATGGCTACACGAGCACGATGTCCGCAAGCAACCATATGAGGACAACAGATTCTACACCCGCAGGGCTAACTACAATTAGGATAATTGCCCACGAGCCGCGGTAAAGGAGCACCTATAATTGCTTTCCCCGTTTTGTAAAACTAAAATAGGGGCATTTTTTTTTTTTTTTTTCCTTTTTAACTGTCAACAAGTGCTCTAAATTTGCTGTTGCGCCCCCGGTTTGGTGATACCTCATGGGCAAAGCGACATGACTGTAAAGAAGCAGAGGGAAGGGCTATACAGATTCGCCTTCAACATAACAGAACAATTTGAGTGAAAATTCTTTTTTTTGTAAATCTATCTTGGGTTAAAAGGATTGCCCATATTTTTTGCTGTTTCATTTTTTTTGGGTCGGCGAGAACTTCTCGTGGTGCACGAATTTAAGTCGAGTTTTTTTTTTTTTTTTTTTATTTAGTGGGGCGGGTTCGGATGGGGGGAGGTTCAATTTTCCCCAGCATATGGCCCATTTACTGGTAAGGCTTATGGCCGTATTGCCAGGCACGCGTGGCAAAATTATTGTGTATAATGTGTAGGGTGAAAATGCGGAGTTTTTTTTTTTTTTTTTTTTTTTTTTTTGTGAGCATTTTTTTAAACTTATTGCGTTGATCGCGAGTCGTTAGAGTGGAGGGGAGAGGTCTCTTCCTTTATCATGCCTTGCTGTATTACTATTTTTCCCCTTTTTTTTCGTTATTTTTATTTATTTTTATTACTTTTTTTTTTCCTTGTCGAATTCGTCTTCACATGAACCATTCTCCAAAATGTTACACACGGAACACACATATAAGTGAAATGGTCTCAACGGATGAGGGAAGAAGCGCTCGTTTTTTAATAACCAGGGGGAGAGGAGTTTTTAAATGTGACCCCAGGTGACAGCAGATTGAGACGCACGGAAATTTCACCTTCAGTTGAATTTCCCATGTTTGTGCGAGCCAGAGAAGAAGCGGCATTGGTTGGCCATATGGCCGTTTATCCTAACATCGTTGCCGCCCTCATGTGGTGCGCCCGCATACTGTGCAAATGTGCATCGGGCCTTCCTCCCCGTTCGAATGCTTTCTTCTGTACCTGCCTAGGCCATACACTTGCGTACACTTGCATACACGCATAAATGTGAATTTTCAGTGTCGCGAGTGAGGAGCAAAACTGTACTTGCTAAACCGTATGGCCGTATTGCCAGGCACGCGTGGCAAAATTATTGTGTATAATGTGTAGGGTGAAAATGCGGTTTTTTTTTTTTTTTTTTTTTTTTTTTTTTTGTGAGCATTTTTTTAAACTTATTGCGTTGATCGCGAGTCGTTAGAGTGGAGGGGAGAGGTCTCTTCCTTTATCATGCCTTGCTGTATTACTATTTTTCCCCTTTTTTTTCGTTATTTTTATTTATTTTTATTACTTTTTTTTTTCCTTGTCGAATTCGTCTTCACATGAACCATTCTCCAAAATGTTACACACGGAACACACATATAAGTGAAATGGTCTCAACGGATGAGGGAAGAAGCGCTCGTTTTTTAATAACCAGGGGGAGAGGAGTTTTTAAATGTGACCCCAGGTGACAGCAGATTGAGACGCACGGAAATTTCACCTTCAGTTGAATTTCCCATGTTTGTGCGAGCCAGAGAAGAAGCGGCATTGGTTGGCCATATGGCCGTTTATCCTAACATCGTTGCCGCCCTCATGTGGTGCGCCCGCATACTGTGCAAATGTGCATCGGGCCTTCCTCCCCGTTCGAATGCTTTCTTCTGTACCTGCCTAGGCCATACACTTGCGTACACTTGCATACACGCATAAATGTGAATTTTCAGTGTCGCGAGTGAGGAGCAAAACTGTACTTGCTGCACACACATGATATATTTTTTTTTTTTTTTTGTCACAACAGAGCGACGAATTGATCAATCAGGAGATACGTCGCATGACCAGCGTGTACTCATCTGCGACAAGGCGAAGGGCTGTGTGAACGCACATGAGATGATAAGTCCCCTCCCGCTTGGGAGCATTTAAAG